AATAATTTTCACCAAGACACATTTTATAAATTAATCATGTTACAAAACCCGAGCATTTACAAACTTTTTGTATAAATTCACACGTGGTCATGAAATAGTCCAGAACAAATCTTATACGGTACAACTTTTGATGCACCAGATATGCATTTCGACAAATTATGTCTCTTCAATGATACTAGTACTCTGACATGCCAAAATGTTTTCTTTAAAGAGTATTTTTTTTTTATTATTAAATCTTGGAGTTGAGTCCTGACGATTGTGTTATGCTGTCTTTTTGAATATTTTCCGGATGTCCTACTGCGTATGCTCTTAATTTGAATACGCAAATTCGTAGTGAATTCATATTTATCATTGAATGTGTAAAATTCTAATATTTTCAATCCTTGTTAGTTATAATAGTTAGTAATGATATACGGTAGTGCGGCTTTGTCAAGTCCGACTTCGTTATGGTCCGACTGTGTTATAGTCCGACACTATCATAGTCCAAATTATCTATCAGCGAAAAATAGGATTGGCCCGCTCAGCGAAGATCCGACGTTGAATCAATGTTGGCAATTCAACTCAATTTAAATTCAATGTTGTTTCAACATTAAATTTTCAACGTTGAAAAGTCAACGTTGAATCAATATTGTATCTAGATTTATCCCAGCAGGCACACAACGTTGTTTAAACGTTGAATATTAGTTGAAATTGGGTTTAGACGTTGATAAATCTAGATACAATATTGATTCAACGTTGAAAATTTAACGTTGAATGAACATTGAATTCAAATTGAGTTGAATTGCCAACATTGATTCAACGTCGGATCTTCGCTGAGCGGGCCAATCCTATTTTTCGCTGATAGATAATTTGGACTATGATAGTGTCGGACTATAACACAGTCGGACCATAACGAAGTCGGACTTGACAAAGCCGCACTACCGTATATCATTACTAACTATTATAACTAACAAGGATTGAAAATATTGGAATTTTACACATTCAATGATAAATATGAATTCACTACGAATTTGCGTATTCAAATTAAGAGGATACGCAGTAGGACATCCGGAAAATATTCAAAAACACAGCATAACACAACCCTCAGGACTCAACACCAAGATTTAATTAAAAAAACAAAACAAAACTCTTTAAAGAAATCATTTTGGCATGTCAGAGTACTAGTATCTTAGACATAATTTGTCGAAATGCATATCTGGTGCATCAAAAGTTGTACCGTATAAGATTTGTTCTGGACTATTTCATGACCACGTGTGAATTAATACAAAAAGTTTGTAAATGCTCGGGTTTTGTAACATGATTAATTTATAAAATGTGTCTTGGTGAAAATTATTGTAACACAATTAAATATTGATAGGAAATTAAACACTTACTGTTAAATATATATATATATATATATTTTTCATATAGTGATATACCGTATGTTTTCATTTAAGGGGTCCCAACCCTCTGCTATAAATTTCACCTTAGAAAGTTTTAAATTTGTAATATTGATTTTCATAAACAACAATAACATTAGAACCACATGGCAAAAAGTTTGAAATATAAAGCGCTGCTTATTTTTTCAGAAATGATTTTAATGTGCAGATCATGAAATGAAAAAATTGAACACAGGGAATAGAAAGAGCAACGATTTATTACCACAACATTAATTATAATATATGAGGTGCATATGAAAATAAAACTTACTATTATACCTATTTAAATCATGTTAGAAAACATCATGGAGCGATGTTTCCTAAGTCAGAAAATCACAATGTTGCAATTGTATGTGGTTGTAAGAAAAAAATATCTGTGATGAGGAGTTATCTTTCTTCTAAATATTTCTTCATGTGAAAAAAAAATCATTCTAATTAAAATACTGCATTAAGTACTTGAAATATTAAACCATTTTTAAAATAGTACTTAAAAAGATACAACTTATAACAAGCCCGCAGTGTAATAATGTAAATGTGATGGGACTTTTTAACAATACTCAGAGACGTAAGCGTAGTCATGGACATCGTTCGTACAATAAACCTGCAATACACGACGTCTCTTTTGATTCATTACTACCTTATGTAAATCAACAGTTAGGTCTACATCATATTCGAACCAAACTTTACTCTGTCCCTTTGAAACTTTTAAATAGTCTTCTTGAAAAGACCAAGGAACATCCAAGTTTAGATTCCTCGACACCTGAATATAGGCTCGGTTCTGTAATTATGGATATTGCACATCATAGGCTTTTTAAACCCGCACGTTTCACGGAAGAAAATGCAGCTAAAACAATCCGTCTTTTCCTTAAACTTCAATATGCCAATAAAGGAATTGACGCGGTTAATATTAGTAATATTCTTAATCACAAAAGGGTCCAGTCTTGTATTCCACCATATTTCAAGTTAAAGACTACGCCTTGTATTTCCTACAAATATACATCGACCATTGCTTCCAAACTTTTCAATTATAAAAATACTTTACATGGCCTGGATATCGACTTTCTGAAAAATAATCCCCTTTCGTGTTCATGTTCTTCTTCGCCCTTAAACTATAGTCCTGCTGGACACGTTATTACTGGTGACGTAAAAAAAGTTCGTAATGAGGACCTTAGATCACTTATTTTAAAAGGTCCTAAATATAGGGAACCCCGATCCTTCAACTGGCGTCGGAATTTCATAAATATTATGGATTCTGTTGAAAATTACGCCAGACGATGGGCTAGATATGAAAAAGAAGACATTGACACCTTGTCAGAATGGATTAAATGTATCAGATCCATGTTAAAGTCACGTATTAAAAGATTGAGGGGCAAAATGAAAACCATCTATCCTTCTGTGTTCAATAAACCAGAAGTGAAAAAAGAATTAGATAGATTACACGATCAGTACGTACTGGTTCCTGCCGACAAAGCAGGTAACAACATTGTCTTCGTTTGTAAGGCTCATTATATAAATTGCATTCTAGAAGAACTTGGATTTAATTCTACAAGTGGTAATCCTACTTATACATATTCTACTCTTTCTAAGGAAGAAATTCTTCAAAATCACCTGTCAGTTTTGAATACTTTTAATATTCCACAGAGCCAAAATGAATTTGAACTACCTTATATATATTGGATTCCGAAACTTCATAAGAATCCTTACAAACAAAGATACATTGCAGGTTCCAGTAAATGTTCAACAAAGCCTCTTTCGTTACTTCTCACTAAAATATTGACAGTAGTGAAGGAAAAACTTCAAGAGTACTGTACAACTATATATTCAAGAAGTGGTGTAAATCAGATGTGGATACTTAAAAATTCTAAAGAACTTTTGGACAATTTGAAATCACAAGACTTTACAAAAATCAACAGCATAAAAACTTACGACTTTTCAACTTTATACACAACAATTCCGCACGACAAATTAAAATCCAGGCTTTTTGATATCATTGACAGCTGCTTCTTCAACAAAAATGGAACTCGTAAGTTTACTTACCTCGTCATTGGTCATTTGAAAAATTATTTTGTTAAAACAGATTCTGATTGCACACATAAGTACTCTGAAGTTGACATCAAGAAGATGCTTGAGTTTCTGATTGACAATATCTATGTGGTTTTTGGAGACCAGGTATTCCAACAATCTATTGGAATTCCCATGGGTACAAATTGCGCTCCGTTATTAGCAGACTTATTTTTATATTCATATGAAGCAGAATTTAGGCAAAATCTTTTGCGTGAAAAGAATAAAACACTTGCTGTGGCCTTCAACTCGACATTTAGATATATCGACGACGTATTGTCAATTAATAATGATAATTTCCATTCCTACGTCGACACGATATATCCTGGTGAGCTTGAGATAAAAGATACCACAGAGTCCGACACTTCTGCTTCATACTTGGATATTTTACTTGAAAAAGACAAAAATGGTAATCTAACAACCAAGCTATATGATAAACGTGATGACTTTAACTCTTCTATCGTCAACTTCCCTTACTTATGCAGCAATATGAATGTACCTTCTTCACCTGCACATGGAGTTTATATATATCTCAGTTGATACAATACGCACGAGCATGCTCTACGGATGGAGAATTTCTTAAACGAAGTAAATTATTAAAAATGATGAAACAAGAATAACAGCAGTCTCGTTTAAAGTCATCATTTCGTAAATTCTATGGTCGATACAATGACCTTGTCAGCAAATACAATTTATCATTGAATGAAATGCTGACTGACGTTTTTCATACCAATTGTTAGTCCATTATTTATACACTGAATTGACCACGGTTTTTTTCCGTTATTTCCTGATTATGACAACGAGCACACGGCGGGTGTGACCGGTCGGCAGGGGATGCTCACTCCTCCATGGCACCTGATCCCACCTCTGATGTTTCAGAGGTCCGTGTTTGCTCTGCTCTTATTTTGTATATTTGTTTAATTGACGTTGAGATTGAATACTGTTCGTTATTTCCATATCCTTCATTTAATTTATAAGGCATTTGATGTTGGATTTAAATGTTTTGTTGTTAAATATAATAAAACAATTGCAAAGAAATTAGCAAAAGAAATAGAAAGTAATGTTTCCATCAGATGTTTGATCTCATCAGATTGAGTACTCAGAGGTCTCAGGAAACTGATTAAGAAAACTTTGAGTAGTATTACTATTTTGTACTTTGAACGCTATCTGTCTTATCAGAGGGTCGCTATCCCTTCAAAAATTATGAAGGCATCTTACCAACCGTGCAATGAAACGGTTAAAATTTTAAGTAAGTACATGTATATAATTACTATATGACACCCCCCTTTCCAAAATAAATAATTGAATAAATGTTGAATCAATTGTTTTTCAACATATAATCAACGTTGATTATCAATGTTGGTTCAATGTTAAGACTTCGACGTTGATACAAATTTTCAAAATCTAACATAAAATCAATGTTGAATCAACATAGAAAAACAACGTTGATTCAAAGTTTATTCAATGTTGTGTGCCTGCTGGGATCAACGTCTAAACCCAATTTCAACTAATATTCAACGTTTAAACAACGTTGTGTGCCTGCTGGACATCCATTGGGACAGTGAAGTGTCCAGTCCAGGGATGATAAGCACCTCCTATGTTGGTCAGGACTCGATCATACTTAACAGCTTCGTGGTACCCGAAGTGTGTCTCCCTTGTCAGTGTTGCTGAAAATGCAACCTTTGGTTTTGCTGCAAAAAATAAGTAAAATAAAAATTTAATGAATGTAATCTTCATTTTAACTTTACTGGTCAGAAGAGAATAGATTATGCGATAGTAATATGTATTACGTCCTTCTAGCTGTCTGTGTGTCCGTCGGTGTAACTGTCTGTCTGTAAACAATTTTTTTTTCAAAATGCTACATGTACTCCTTTTACAGTTTTGGTCTGATTTCAATTTAACTTGGCACACAAGAAGAATACACTAAGATCCATAATTCTGTATATAATTCTTTGTATCGGTTTTTGATTTCGATGCACGATGTTACCTTTACTTAGTAAAAATAGAATTTCCTGTGTAATACTTTCAAAATGCTACTCCTCCTACAGTTTTGGTCTGATTTCAATAAAACTTGGCACACAAGTACACTACATTAAGATACGAAATTCCAGGTCTCAGTTTTTGATTTCGTTATACGGTGTTGCCGTGGCTACTAAAAATAAAATTTCCTGTGTAATACTTTTAAAATGCTACTCCTCTTATAGTTTTTTTCTGATTTCAACATAACTTGGCACACAAGTAGACTTCTCTAAGATATATAATCCCACGTATCAGATTTTGATTTTGTTAAACGATGTTGCCATGGTTAATAAAAATAGGTTTTTGTGGAAACTTTCAAAATGTTACTCCTCTTGCAGTTTTCGTCTGATTAAATATAATGTGGTATGCAAGTAGACTGAGATACATGGTTGTCATTTTTGGTTTTCGATTTTGATGAATAATGTTGCCACAGTAACTAAAATTTAAAATTCTGTAAAATTTATTTAAAGCTACTCCTTCAGTTGTAGTCTTATTGCAGTCATAGCACAAAAAGAGATTTAATCAAGTATCATTGTTCTATTTATTGCTGTTTCAAGTTCCAACTGCTACTTTTTCCTCCCTGTGTTATACATATTATAAGTACAAACCACTAGAGCTTCAGTCTCGACAGAGACTTCTGGTCTTTCTGTTTTTTGACTGTGAATATATACTGGCTTTCCTTAGTCATCAGTGGTAAGGTCAACGGTAGCCTAGTGGTACGGTGTTCATTTCGTGATTGGAAGGCCTGCAAGGGTTCAATCATATTTACATGAAGTTACGCAGCTTCATATGGTGCCTGATCCTACCTCTGATGTCTTAGAGGTCAGTGTTTGTCCTGCTCCTATTTTGTATTGTTTAATAGACATTTTAGCTTGAATACTGTTCGTTATCTCCATATATTTACATTCCCAATAGCTTTATCCGAGATAAAATTACAATACTTAAATAAATGTACTTTATTTCTAAATAAATTACTGATTCATCGTTAGGCGCAGTTAAAAGAATCACGTGCGGGGCGGGACAAATAGAGACATATTAAAGCGGGGTTTGTAGCACGTGGATTTGCGGAATTAATAGCATGTAGATATATAAGAAGTAACTGTCAGTTTTTTTTTTGATTTCATAACGATGTTTAACTGATTGGCTTGCGTGATAATTTATGCATAACATTACTCAAATTATCACGCAAGCCACTCGATTGATCATATCATGAAATTAAAAAAAAAACTAGATTGTTATTCCTTACATATTTCATATCAGTTTAAAGAAAGTGAAAGTCACAGATCTCTTGACTTTAAATTTACAGTGAAATTGCGATTCCGCCTCCCATTTTGTAGAATTAATTGGCCTGCGACTTTCTTTTGCATTGCTGTAACTTTTTGTATTTAACTGTATTTTTGTCCCCTTTTGTCCTTTCACACTACCCCATGGCCATTTAAAGTCACCCAGGCAATATTCTGTTTTGAAAATATACTTTTTTCTTTGAATTTGTCCGGTTTTAAATTCGGCTAATTGTGTCAGGGGCTAAATAAGCGCAAAAAAAAAAACCGAGACAAAGATCTCCCTATTATATTATGGAGTATTTTGTAAATAACACTGCCTTTAAATGAATGAAACCTTTGATTGCTTGTACGACAAAATATTACATAAATATTGCATGTAGTTGAGTGTATCATTGAAAATTTTCATCCCAAGAAAACTATTGTTTACCGAGGCGCAGCCGAGGTTGACATTGGTTTTTGAGGGGTGAAAATTTTCAATGTTACACACAACTACATGCAATATTTATTATATTATATTGAATGTTTTATACAAATACATATTTCAGTGAACGTGCGCGCTTAAAGAAGAAGGTATGGTTTCCATACAAATTTTGCCCTGTGATTTTCTAAAAATTGAAACTGGTGATTAAGTTGAAAACTCATGCTTTTTAAATAATTGAAATTCAATGCAGAAAAATCATACAAGTCATTTTTCTCACAAGTGTTTTTAAATGCTAATTATGACGTCATAAACAAGTGTATTTTCCCGTATTTTCTGAAAAAGTGGCAGAAGACACCCATTTTCAATGGAATTTTCTTTCAGATAACATTGTCCACAGGCATCGCCCACAAAGATCTTGAGATATGTGATTTGTTATTGAATTTTGCACAAAATATCAAAAAATTAACGTGGGCGACGGCTGTGGACACTGTTTTCTAAAGGGAAATCACCCTTGAAATGTGCCATTTTGAGGCTTTTTCTGTTGAAAATAGAGAAATGCTTCACATTAATGACGTCATTTTTGCAGAATGGTAAACCTTCATGCCATATTCTTTTCTGATTTATCACAGTCATATATTTAACTAATATTTAAGCCAGTTTCAAAATCTTTTGATGTCATTTCATTTTTAGGGCGCAATTAAAGCTAAAACCATACCTTCTTCTTACGCGCAGTCGCCATTTTTTGTAATACCACCCGCAGAAGGATAAAACGGTCCTAGTTGAGCGTACGTTTTATCCATTTGCAACATTGGGATTCGAACCATCAAAGTTGAACTCCTTACTCAGCCACTCTAAAGCAGACGCTCTAACCGCTGCGCCACGTGGGACCGGAGATCTAATGATAATATATGGAGTGAAAAATATATGAATTGTTTGAAAACCTCCTCTCTCCTCGGCTACTGTCTATTTAAAAAATGAACTATATGTACATAGCAAAGGCCTTCAGATCGCTTTGATCTTACCGACATGTATTAAAAAAAACTTTTTCATGTCGGTAAGATCAAAGCGATCTGAAGGCCTGTGGTATTTAGCTAAAATGAAGAAGGATTTGTGAATTCCATGGCCACTGGGCATGGGGTTCTGGTGTAATGACTGAGCTCCAATGATTATAAAGTAAAAATGCACGAATTGTTTGAAAATCTTCTCTGCTCCTGGGTTTTATATAAATGACCAATGGATTACATAGTTATAATGAGGAAGGCTCCCTCTTCCAAAACTGTTAATTTCTGGATCAGGAGTTCCTGTGTTAGAGCGGGGACCTACTGATTATATGTAGTGAAAATGCATGATTGTTTGAAAATCTTCTCCTCTGCTCCTGGGTTTTATATTAAGTTTTATACTATGTAAATAATCACAAAAGATCTGATTATGACTGCTTAATGGAAATGCATTTTTATTCCCCTGCTCTCCCTTTAAGTATTAAAAGTAATCAAACTTATACAATGTTATAGCATCCTGCGTAAAATGGGTAATGGTCCTCTTTCCAAAATTGTGAATTTCATGGCATCTTGTTTTAAGACAAAAACCATATAAGTTTGTTGAAAAGTTGTTACATGATGACTTTTAAGGCCCGCGGCATCTTGTTTTCGATAGAATTCATTCCGTGTACTCGTAATGGAGTAAAATAAACACGGGCGATAACTAGCTGTGACGTCACAGCCTACTCCAATCCGTTACGAAGGCTTAGATCAATTAGATCATGTATCTCGGTTTAATCATCTCAATCTTGTGTGCAAAATTATATTGAAATTAGACCAAAACTCTAGGAGTACAGTTTTAATCGGATTTCACAAAAGCTTCAATTTTACATGAAAGTAATCATCGCAACCAGTAGAGCTAAACATTAAGTAGCAATTAACCGTTCCTTCACCAAGCACTCGGCAAATTGAAATGCAAGTGACAGATCTTTCATTGGCAGGATAAAGAAATCTCAATGCTCAATGACATCGAGTGCAGAGTAAAGGTTTAAATTATAAACCCTTCACCAGTGTATGGTGACGTCTTTACATTAGTGAAAAATTCTCGTTTGGACATAAAACTAGGCTACAATCAATCAGTCATCTCAGCAATAACCATATTGCTACCTCTGTACTTGTAGAAATCAAGAACAATCTGAACAAGTGATGTTTTTCTAACTCATGCACATGTATGTGAGAACATTAAATATACACAAAGTCTCTTTTTAAAATAATTATATACAATTTTTATTCAGTCATAACATTGAGATCATAATTCTCATCATTCTGTCCACTGAAAGCTGATGTAAAGGCATCTGACAATTCCCCAGCAACTTTATCTGAAAAGTAATGAATAAACCAATTAATCTCAAGTCTAAAACATTGTATGAAACAATGAAAAATTTGTATTTGTATGCAGATCATGCAGGTACATAGAGAAGTATTACATGCAGATATAAAAGTTACACTTGTTTAATTAATTCATATCTCACTTGATAATCAAATTGAAGTCTGAAATCCTAAACAACACTCATAAATATACACATAAAGTAACACCTGTAAAAATGTATTCACTACATCTACTGATTAAATTGAATTTCAACAAATTAAAGCAATATTGTAAATGTACATTCCCTGACCTGCTCTTTTTCTCTGTTTCTTCATCTTTTTAAAATCCTTTTTTCTGTCCTTGTTTAACTGTTTGAGCCCCGCTCTCTGTTTGCCTTCAGACTGTTTTTGTGAAGCTTCGTTACTCACTGATGATTTTCGTGAGGATGCTCTACTTGATTTTACAGGAACAGAAATAGCTTTCAGCTGCAGAATTAAAAAAAAAAACATGTTAAACAATGTTTAAAGGAAGGGGTCATTTATGCTTTAATAACATTATTTTACACATTTTTGACAAACTAGCTGAGCATTAAGACCTGGTTGTACATTCTGAAAGTTAACACATTTTGTCACACCGACATTTATGTTAACCTCCTCGTCATCATCTTCCATATCTTCTTCCTCTTCCTCACTGCCTTCCTCCTCTTCCATGTCATCATTCTCATCATCTTTGATTTCTGGGAGCACTCCTATGATATATTGACGGATGCACAATTTGGGTTTCGTAAAGGAATGTCAACAACTGATGCTATATTTGTTCTGCAATCGCTTATAAATAAGTACCTTTCTACTAAGAAAAGATTATATTGCTGTTTTGTCGACTTTCAAAAAGCATTTGATTCTGTTGATAGGATAAAATTATGGCAAAAATTATTTCATTTAGGCATTCAAGGTAAAATGTTAAACATAATCAAATCCCTATACAATAATGTTAAAAGTTGTGTTAAATACAATGGTTTTCTCAGTGATTACTTCCACAATGATATAGGTTTAATGCAAGGGGAAACATTATCACCAATATTATTTTCACTATATGTAAATGATTTCGAGGTTGGTTTTTATATCAGATAACTGTCTATATATTGATTTACAGATGTTAAATTTATTCATACTTATGTATGCAGACGACATGGTTATTTTTGCTGAATCTCCAGAAGGCTTACAAAAAATGTTAAACACTCTGTACAATTATACTGAGAATGGAGCCTTTCTGTTAATGTAACAAAAACAAAGATTGTTGTCTTTAGAAATGGTGGTAAATTACGCAATAACGAATCCTGGTTCTATAATAATGCTGAATTAGAAATTGTGAATGAATTCAAATATCTAGGTATTTTATTTAACTTTGATGGGAAATTTTTAAAAACACAGAAGCATGCTGCTGAACAAGGAAGAAAAGCTATTTTTGCTATTTCAAGTAAATTAAAGAGGTATGAATTTAATGTAGAAACTCTATGTTCAATTTTTGATACATATGTATGTAGCGTATTACTTTATGGAACTGAGATATGGGGTTTTCATAGATGTTCTGACGTAGAAAAGGTACATTTAAATTTCTGTAAAAATACTCTAGGTGTGGGGAAGAAAACCTCAAACAGTTTGATATATTCAGAGCTCGGGCGTTTTCCATTAGCAGTTACAATGAAATTAAGAATATTTAAATGTTGGATCAAATTGAGAACAACTGAAAATTGCATTCTTAAGTCTTGTTATGAAAGCATGGTATTACATAATGACAAATGGATTTTACAAATTAAAAAAAGAATTGTCCCTTTTAGGTCTAGGTCAACTTTGAACAGAAGATGATTTAAACAATAGATCTTATCTCATTATAAAACAACGACTGCTAGATGTTTCTAAGCAAGCTATAATAGAAAATATATCAAACTCTTCAAAGTGTAATTTGTATCAACATTTAATTGACAATTTCTGTTTGCAATGGTATTTAACAAAACCTATTGACAAAAAATTAAGACAACTACTAACAAAATTCAGGTTATCGAATCACACGTTAAATATTGAAACAGGTCGACACCATAACGTACCTAAGAATAATAGATTATGTACATGTTGTAATCTCCATGATATAGAAGATGAATTCCATTTTATTTTGAAATGTCCATTATATATTGATATAAGAAAGAAATTTTGAAAAAGTATTATTATACTAGGCCTAGTGTCTTTAAATTAATTCAGCTGTTAAGTTCAAATAATATTAAAGATCTCTTAAATTTGGGTAAATTTTTGAATGAAGCAATATTGTTAAGAAAAAATAAAATTGATGTATAGAATTATTTCCATGTATGTGTACTTTACGTTCACTCTGTCTGTATGTTTTTTATGCCCCCGTAAACGAAGTTTCGGGGGTATATAGTTTTTGTCGTGTCTGTCTGTCTCTCTGTCTGTCTGTCTGTCTCTCTGTCTCTCTGTTTGTCTGTTTGTCCGCAAAAACTTAAACCTTGTCCATAACTTTTGATTTAGTGGAGCTATGACTTTCATATTTCACATGTATATTGCTTGTGACAAGACCTTTCTTTGGGTACCACCAAATTTGACCTTTTGACCTTGACCTTGGAGTTTGACCTACTTTTACATGAAAATTTCAAAATTTTACTTTCGCTATATCTTTTGAACAATAGACACCAGGACATTTATACTTTACATATGTAATGTTTGTTGAAAGACCTTTCACTGGATACCAACAACCTTGACCCTTTGAGCTTGACCTTGTAGATTTCCGTACTTGTAAAAAACTTTAACCTTGGCCATAACTTTTGAACGGTAAGGGATAGGGCTTTCATACTTCATATATGTAATCCTTGTGAAAAGTCCCTTCATTTGATACCAAGAACTTTGACCCTTTGACCTTGACCTTTGAGATTGACCTACTTTAAAAAAAGCAAACCATGACCCTTACTTTTAAAAATTAG